TATTTTAGAACTAAGCTTTTTGGAATAGGACTAGAGATTGCTGGGATGAGCATTGCACTTTTTTCATGGCCTGTCTGTTATCTCTTCTGATTTGAAATCAAACCTCAGCTTTGCGGTAGTCAGGGTGCAGGACCTGTTGCTGATTCCAAATTTCCCTAAGGGAATATACAACCTATCAATGGTCTAGTAAGATGTAACTTTTGTCCTCAACTATCAGTACAGTGACACCTAACAATTCTTGGATTCCCTATATGCCAAGGGTGGGGAACCTTTCTAGGGCTGGAAGCTGCTGTCCCATAGAAAAATCAGTTGGGGGCTGCACACAAGTGTGAAGCAAAACAACCAACCAATCAACCCCCCACTCCCATTGACATGGCCCCTGACTGAGAAGGAGAAAGACACTCCCCACATTCCCTTTGCACAGCAGAGCCTAGGGGGACTCCGACTAGTAGATTTGGTGTGCTCCAGTCCCACGGGGGGTGAGAGGAGGGTTGGAGCACCAGCATGGGTTCCCCCATGCTGGGGGGAGCCCCGAGCCTCGGGTGCTGGATCCAGGCAAGCTGGAGGACCCGCATCCAGCTCCCAGTCCTTAGGTTCCCTACCCTTGCTATATGCCCTTTACACAGGTCACTGTGGTAGTCTCCTCCTGACCTTAGACATGAGGTTGATGGCAGAGGGATGGTGACGGTCATCTCAGGCCAATACTAATTAGCTGTAACAGAAGGACTACTTGAAGTCCTCTGCAGTGGCTGGGGGGTTAGCTAAGAAAATATCCTTTTTCTTTATGTCTGTCCCAAATAGAGGAGGAGGAGGAGAAATGAGTTGGCAGAAGCACTGCTATGAAGGATTGAGGAGTTATGGTGGATCATGCCCTCAACGTGAATCAACAATGCAATACAGTTGCAGAAAAAGCTAATGCAATGTAGAGTTGCATTAACAGAGGCATAGCATGCAAGTCATGGGAAGTGTTAGACCCGATCTACTCAGCACTGGGTAGGCCTCAGCTGGGGTACTGTATCCAAGTTTGGTCACTGCTGTATTGGAAAGATGTAGAGAAATTGGAAAGGATCCAGAAGCGAGCAACAAAGATGACCATAGCTATGGAATGCAAGCCATATGAGCAAAAGCTGAAGAAACTGGCTATGTTTAGTTTGAGAAAGACATGATAGCAGTCTTTAAATACTTGAACAACTGCCATAAAAAAGATGGAGAAAAGTTGTTCTTTCTTGCCACAGAGGACAGGACAAGAGGCAATGGATTCAAACTGCAGCATGGTAAATGTAGATTAAATCTCAGGAAAAAACATCCTAACTGTAAGAATAGTAGGACCACAGAGCAAACTGCCTAGGAAGTCACAGAAGCTCCTTCACTGAAGTTTTTCAGAAGGCGGCTGAAGAGCCACCTGTCTTGAATGGTTTAGGCACAACAAATCCTGCATCTTGACAAGGGATTAGACTAGAGGCCATGGTCGCTTCTAACTCTATGGCTCTATGGCATACAGCTTTAACCCTCTTTACTGTCAGACATGGATAGGAATATTCTCTCTCCCTTCTCAGTGCCTGGCTCAGAGAGGGCCTGGATGAAAGTGAGCTGGATGACACTCTTACTACATATGCCAGGAGTACGACTGCCAGGTAAGAAAATTATTTAGAGGTTGTTGTGGGCGATATCGGTTCCTGGCCCATTTCTGTGGGAGTACACCCACTCTTTTCGGGAAAAGTTGCAATATGAGTGTTCTCCTGGATTCCCAGCTAGTATTGGTGGCCAGAAATGCCTTTCCCCACCTGTACTTGGCCACATTTGGGTATTTGTTACTAATTTTCTCTGATACAGAAATAGCCATGCTAATACATGCCTTTGCAACCTTCAGGTCTTGTACCCTATATGGACAAGCTATGAAGACCATTCAAAAGTTACAGTTAGTGGCAAATAGAGTCGGCTGCTTGCTTGCAGTGTCAGCCAGAGGCAGTGCATAACAGCAATTCTCTGAGGACTGCACAAACTTCCTATTTGCTTCCAGGTGCAATTCAAAATGTTGATACTGATGTATGAAGGCCAATCAACTACGGAATCACTTATTTCCCCACATGCTCTAACAATAACTGAGGTCAGCTAGGGTGCTTCTACTAAGGGGAGCTGGTGGCAGGGTGTTTATGAATCTTGCCTATGAAAACTACTTCCCCTGTTGGTCCAGCAGAGCTCAAAATGGCCCTTTAAGGCCTGATGTAAAGCTCATGTTTGCTTTACTCCAGGTATGTTTGTGAGGAATATATGGAACTTGTTTCTGAATTTATCTGGGCTGACCTTTGCTAGAGACCAGAGGCCCCATAAAGGAGCATTTTATACATCTGTGAATAAACCAGATGAAATGTGTGGTTTCTATTAATGAAGCTCTGGTAGTTTATGGTACTACCTGAATCCTTCAGTTGATCTGTCTTCCTGATGCGGTTGGTTATTGATTATTATTGATGAAAAGTAATGGTACCACAAGAGCCCAGAGATCATAAGGAGACCAGAGATGACACTCTTGTATTTTGAAATATACCTAAGACTCAAGGAATGCTATGGAACACTACTGGTGGGCGAAATTCCACAGTAAATAACCGACTTCCTCCTAGCTATACTCCGACATGCCATGAATAAATATCATAAAAATCCACATGAGCAATGAAATAATGGAAGACCACCTGGCACACAGAAAAGCTCTTCTAAATTTCATCAGCCCAACTGGACAGAGACTGACTAGTGCAATTATTCCCTTGCACTAGTGTAAATCAGGAGTTACTCCATATACATGTTTAGAATGAGAACACAGCACTGATGCATAACCAGGTGTAGAAGAGGGGGTGAAATAATCTAGGGTACATCTACACAGCGGTGTTATTTCAGAATAACTGATGTTATTCCAAAATAACAAAATGAGTGTCTACACTACAAGCCTTTATTTTGAAATAATGGCAAGCTGGAGGACTTCTTACTCTGACTCATTGTAACCCTAATTTCACAAGGAGTAAGGGAAGTCGAAGGAAGAGTGCTTCTTCCTTTGACTTCCTGCTGTGTAGACAGCACCAAAAGCCAAGTTAAGCTATTTCAACTTAAGCTATGTACTTGACATAGCTGAAGTTGTGTCGTTTAATTGGACTTTAGCCCTGCTGTGTAGACATACCCCTAGAAAGCAAATGATTACTCACTCAACTTCTTTACCTATGGACCTAAAGAACTGCACCCCTGAGTTTTTCTGGTCTTGCTGATTCCCTCTGAAGGAAGTGAAAAAGAGCCTTACATAGATTCAGCTGGCCCCATAGAGGGCTCAAATATATGCCATAGCCTCATCTTCTTCAAGATGTTTCAGATTATCAGATACAAACTGAAATGTTCCCATATAGGAGAAAGATACCAAGCCCCTCAAATTGCTATTTTTAACTAATTGTGGAAACCTCAAGGGGATCAGAAGTGTTAGTTGTGGGATGGAGGAGGGGAGAGACTTCAAATGCATCAGGCTTCAAGGGCATTTTCCTGAAGATATATCTTTCCAAATATTTCAGTGAAATACTGACCCCTTTGAAGTATTCAAACCTGAGCTCCCATTGCTGTTGGTAAGAGAGTTGACATGTTGTGGGAGAGCCCTTGTGAACTCATTACAGGAAACTCCACAGCCAATTCCATACTGGCCCATTGGCTGCCTAGTTAATTAGGCATCACTGTGTGGGATTTCATGGGATGTAGCACATCTGCAACGGGGGAGGGGTTCTTCCAGAAGAAAGCCCTGGGTGAGGACAGGGAGGCGATTAAGAGCAATCTGCCAAGCTTGTTTCTTGCTGAAAGGGTGCAGATCTGCCCTGAGTGTTATGAGTACAGGGACCACTCTGAGAAAGTTCTGAGGGCTGAAAATAAAATAACACACTCCACAGGTTCTTCTGGTGGGCTCCTGGGAGCAGTGCCATGACATGGTTACTGGCAAGTGGGAGACTGGAGAAAAATGAGTCATGGACAAAGAATGGAGCCTTCATTTGGTCACTAGAATGTGAGGATCAAAGCCCGTGGCTGGGTGGATGAGAGCAAGCAGAGCAGCAGCAGGGAATCAGGGACAGGCAGGCGTTAGAGCAGCACAGGAAAAAGGAAGAGCTTGTCTGCTGGCCAGGTGAACTCTCCTGAAACCTCACCTCAAAGCGACCCCCTCTCTCCACTTCAGCAGGGGAAATCCTCACTGAGGGCCAGGGCTTCCTAGTCACAGCGGGATGCGCCATCTAGCGGCCGCTCCCCAGATCTGTTACCCCCAGGCACTTGAGTCCTGGGGCTGCCCAAAGGCAGAGGAAGCTATTGAAACCGCATCCAGGAGGGAAAAGCCCAGGCGGTGACAACGACCCAGGTGCAATAGTTGCATCCATGCAGGGAACCAAATGTAACTGTGGGACCGTGTCCCGCAGCAAGTCAGCACCCGGACCATAAACAGCCCTTGCGCGGTGGCTTCGTTTAAGGGCTGTTCCAGGCGCTGCCCTCCAACAGCGCACTCAGGCACATGCTCAGAGGACAACGCGACCACACAGCAGGGCTAGAATGAGGGGCAAGTGCGGCCAACTATCCTGCTCATGCCTTGCCTTGGTCCCCCGTGGGCAAGGTGTTGGGCCAGGCAAGAAAACCAGGGTCTAGAAGAACCATATTCGCCAGGGGCGCCCACCAGGACCACGTTACTCTCCATCCCACCCAGGGGTTTATTATGATTGTTCTTTTATTTGCAGCATCTGCTCCACACTCCAGCGCCAGCATCCAGGAGTGGCTTGTTTCTCTGTTCTGGCCTCTTTGTCAGACAAAGTGGCGTGCTGTGGAGTGGCCTTAAGCCAAGGAGGCGAGGCGTGTGTGAGAGAGAGAGACAAACAGTTCCAACCTGGATACCACACCAGAGTGAGCGAACAGAGAACAGAATGTTGTCTGAGCAAAAATACACTGTGAAATTAAAGGAGAGAGAGAGAGAAGAAAAACCACGTGTAAACTGCTCTTACCTTGTAGCCAAAGCAATCCGTGAAGGACGCAAACAGCCAGGGCGGTGCAATGCTTTGGAATCATTGCTCGTGTAGAGGTGACTTATTAGGTGTATAATCCTTTATAAACGCGCAAGAAGGGAGATCAGTAAATAGGGTCAATTTCTTTCCAGCAACAATTTAAAACAACAGTTTAAAAGCCTTCGGGGTGGATAAGGGAGGGGAGGGGAAAAGAACAAGGCGTCCAGAAGTTCTCACTTGTTGATTCCAGTAAAACTGCTCCTTCCATTCACTGCTTCACCCCTTTGCTACAGATCTTGTTTGCCTCCCTCTCTTCTTGACGGTCAAATGTGATTTTTTAAGAATAACTTTATTCCTGTTTCCCCCCTTCTAACTCATGGGATGATTTCTTTTCTTTTTTGGTGCTTAACCTGATTAAAGGCAGAGAGCTCGGTGAGAAGAGCAGCTGTTACACAACTGCCCAAAGGGGTTAACAAAGCAAAGTAGCAACAACAGAAAGTTTTGGTACGAAGTTTCTTCGAGTCCCTGAGTTGCTGCAGAGAAGCGCTCCTCCCTGGGGCTGGCTCTGGTTAAGGTGCCTTGTCGCTGAGGTCTGTTTATCCCGGGAGGCTGCAGGTGCTGCAGGGATCTGGAGGACGAGGCTTGCGAGACAGGACAGGGGGAAATAACTAAACAAAACTCCTGCGTCCCAGTAGTTGTGGCAGCTGACCCAAGCCCATGGGATCTCTGCTACATGTTGGTGGGGGCTGCCCAGGAACAAGTGATCGGTCAGGCTGCTTGCAAGAAGTGGGGCTTGTGCCGGGGCAGGTCCCCGGGTAGGTATTTCTCTCGCCCCCACCCCTCCCAGTTTGAGCTGCTTTTGCCGG